TACATTAAAGGCTTTTGGACAATGCCCCCTCACCACCAATAAAGCTTATAAGCAAGCTTCGAAGGAGTCTGTTTCCAAGTATCTTAATATGTACCAAAATAAACCAAATACTAGATTAAGAAGAAAGCAAAATCTAGTAACCAAAAATGTAAAATTTATCATTCTCAGCATCCAATTAGGAATTACAGACATACAAAAAAAAGCAAGAAAATATGACCCATAATGCAGGGAAAAATCAGTCAGTAGGAACAGACCTAGAAATGACAGAGAAGATAGAACTAACAGAAAAGGAGGTTAAAAGAACTATTACAAATATATTCCATTTATTCAAGATAGTAGAATAAACATGAACATGATGAGGAAAGAAATGGAAGGTATAGATAGACAAAATGGAATTTTTAGAGATGAAAAAGGAAGTAACAGCACATTAGATGCTGCAAAGGATCAATGAAACTGAAGACACAGAATTAGAAATTAGACAAAGCAGAATGAGAAAAAAGATTTTTTAGAAAAAGTAGAGCATCAGTAACTTAAAATATCAAGTGGTAAAACATACATATAATTGGAGACTTATAGGGAGAGGAAACTAAAAAATGTATTTGAAGAAATAATGGTCAAATTTTTTCATATTTGATGAAAACTATAAACCCACAGATCCAAGAAACTCAATGAACTCAAAGAGCATAGACCTAAAAAAAAAAAATTCTCAGACATATCATAATCACATTGCTGAGATTCAGTGGTCAAGAGAAAACCTTAGGGGGAGTGGAAAGGGAGGCACATTTGTAATAGAGGAAGAAATATAAAAATAACAGACTTTTTGTTAGAGACTATGTAAGGCAGAAGACTATAGGAATGTAATCTTTAATAGAAGGAAAAAATCACCAACCTAGAATTCTTGAACCAGTTATAACATTTTTCAAAACAGAAATTAAAATATCCTTTCAGCAAACAAAAGCTGAGAGAATTCATTGCAAGAAAACCCCCACCATAAGAAATGTTAAAGGAAAGGGATACAAACAAAATGGTGGAATAAATAGGTCCAGGTTCTTGTTCCTCTGAAAAAAACTGAAAAAGGATCCAGAAGCTATCTGAACCAGCTTCATGGGAGCTCTGGAAAACAATCAAAGTTTATGGCAACCAAGAAAATACCCAATGAAGAAAAAGCCATCTTCAAAATGGTAGGAAATTTCATGGCATTTTTACTCTTGCTCTACTCCCTCCTAGGATGGCAGCACTCTTGGTCTTGAGCAGTGGCAACCCAGTTCCCAGTTACCTTCATTGAACTAGACAGAGCATAGGAAGACCTTATGTGCATATCATTGTGTATTTATGATTTAATCTTGCTGGGTGGATACATGAAGGACTGACCAGTTGAGTTCTGTCTCACATGCAGGCAGGTTTGTTAGGTTCCTGTCAGCTGAGTCTGCCTCTATTTTAAGATACTCTCTCAGAAGATTCTTCCAACAACTTCCAATTACGTGTAGTTGGCCAGAAACTTGTCACATAGTTACACTTATCTTCAACAGAGGCTGGACAATGTACCTTTTTTTTTTTTTTTTTTTTTTTTTTAGCAAGGGATATTTCTACCTAAATGCTAAAAATTTTATGTTCTTGAGATAATATATATTGTGGGAAAGCAATTATCAGTCTCTGTCACAGAGTACAAGAGACTAATTAGGAGACTAGAAGAAAGAGATGATAGTGGCTTGTGCTACAGTGGTAGTGGGGTTGATGGTGAGATGTATTTGGACACTTGATAATATTTTGAAGGCAGAAACCAGAAGACTTAATGCTGGATTAGATACGGTAAGGAGAAGGAGAGAAATAAAGAGTGAAACTTAAGTTACTAGCCAGTAGATGGTAGCACCAATAACTGAGATGAGGAAAACTTGAGAAAGGCCAATGTTTTGTGGGGGTTTTGGGGGGAGGGAGGGGAGCAGCATTAGTAATCCAGAATTTTCTTTTGTGATATGTTAAATTTGGGATGCTTATTATACAGCTAAGTGGAAACCAATACCTTTTTGAATTTCTCAGGGTTATATTTAGAATCTTTTCCAAGGGTCACCCTCTCCTCACATTCCTCAAAAATATCTCTATTTACTTTGGAGTTAGTTCTGTTTGCTCTTATTGATTCTTCACTTGCATGTATTGATTCTCCTCATATATCTGGTAAACTTTGTTGGCTTACTTTATATTTGTGAATGAAAGAATATGTTGATTGTATAGGTATGCTCTGTGTGACAGGCAGGCTTCCCTGGGGTGTATATGGGGATGCAAGAGCATTGGCAGGATGGCTGGGAACCCAACAACATTTCCAAAGAACCCATGTGTTTGTCTCCTAGATGGAACTTCCTTTTTTTTCTTTTTATACCTCCTCTGTTATCTAATGTGGAAATGTCAGTGACAGCAAGCTCCATTCTGCTTCCCTATCAAGGCTCAAAACTCATAGGATTTCCACCTGGGCAGATGGCACATTTTCTTTAGAAAGCAATTTTTTTTCTATTTTTTTTACTTATTATGTTCAGTTAGCCACTGTATAGTACATCGTTAGTTTTTGATGTAGTGTTCATTGATTCACTAGTTACATATAACACCCAGTGCTCATCACAACACATGCCCTCCTTAATACCCAATCACCCTATTACTCCCCCCCACCCCAAACCCTCAGTTTGTTTCCCAGGGTCCATAGTCTCTTATGGTTTGTCTCCCTCTCTGATTTCTCCCCCTTCAGTTTTCCCTCCCTTCCCCTATGGTCATCTGTGCTGTTGCTTATGTCCCACATATGAGTGAAACCATATGATAATTATCTTTCTCTGCCTGACTTACTTCAGTTAGCATAATCCCCTCATTTTTTTTTTTTTTATGTTTTGGGTGTGTGACTGGGAAAGACAATGTTGCCAGTGGCATGTTCTCTGTATGCTGCAGAAGAGAAGATCCAGCTGTTCTGAATGTAGCTCTTTAATTAATAACTATGACAAATGCACCATCATCTGATTCTCTTTGTATATGCTGTCCTTGAATTTTTTTGTTTCTCAGGCCCACCTGATTTCTGTTGTTCAAGGCTCTAATTTTCTTAATGGGGGTTTCTATTCAATCAGTCTCATCTGCTTTCATATTTTCTGAATTTTCTCAACTTTCTAAATCCTGGTGTCTCACCTTATTGATTTCCAGTATTGCCATGGGATTTTTCTTTTTGAAATATTGTTTTCTGTTAATTTACTAGAACCTTGGAAGGTAGAAAAGAAGAGATCTCCATGTTTAGTCCATCACCTTGAAGCTCCTATATTGGTTTGTTTTATTGTTCTTTTCTAGCTTCCTGAGATGAATGCCTAAAGCGTTTCTCCCCAGTACAAATGTACTGGAGTTTTTTATTTATAAAGTGTTCCATGTTAATTTAAATAATAATACAGAGTTAAACAATAAAAGTTAATAGTGTCCTGTTTCCTCTCCTCCAGAGATGTTAGCATTTTATGTCCTTTCACACATTCTTTCAAGCTTATCTTAGGGAGGAGTTTTTGTTTCTTTTGTGTTTTTTACAAAAAGGAGATCATGGGGTTTTTTGTTTTTTGTTTTTTTTTACTGTTCTTCCTCTTCTCATATATATTTCATTTATTTTTAATTTTTCTACTAAATTTATTTAAAATAATGAAATTTCAAATGTTAGAGTTCAAACTGTTTTTTAGGGAAATTCAAGCAAAGAAAAACAAAACAAGCAAAAGAACAGATGTGGAAAAGTCTGAGATGTATTTCAAGAATTCAGAGTTAGACACACTTGTCTGAAGGAGAGAAACTATAATGGGGAATATTGAGAAACTCAGAAAAAATTTAGTCAATGTGTTAGGGCAATGAATAGCAGCAAAAGTAGGAAGCTGCTGAAAATTTAAGAATAAGATCATGTTATTAACTGCTTAATATTAATGAACACTTAAAAGTATTACTTATAGAAACATTCATTGAACTGTTATTTTAATTAACTTGATATATAATCAACCTTCTGCTGTCTAAAGGAGATAGTATATTGGAAAGTAGTTTGTAGACTAAGTACTCTCAAAGAGATGGCGTCAAGTTTTGTCTAGATGAGTTGGCAGTGTGGATGCACATTATGATGCTTCCAAAGCATCATTCTCAGTCACTGTGGTCTTGATAGTGTAATGAAGGGAGTATCAGATAAAAATTTAGGACACTTAGGATTTAGGCTACTAATCTTCTGGGTAACTTGGGAAAACAAACTTCAACTTCAGATTTTTGTATGAAACAAGGAGTAGGATTGGATTATCTCTAAAGCACCTTTCATCTCCAAAAATTCAGTGGTTCTGTGATTCTATAATTGTTCCTATACACCTTAATCTAGCACCCAGTGTTTCCTTAGGCAGTGTTAAGTACCCATTTAGCAATTACAGGTTAAGGAATCATTGAAAATGCTTTCTAGCCCAATACAATATCAAATGCCATTTATTTATTTTTTATTCTTTGTAGGGGTGGGGGGAGGGGCAGAGGGAGAAGAAGAGAGAATCCTAAGCAGGCTCCACACTCAGCACGTTAACCCAATGTGGGGCTTGATCTCACAACCCTGAGATCATGACTTAAGCCGAAATCAAGAGTCAGACGCTTAACCGACTGAGCCACCCAGGGGCCCCTCAAATGCCATTTATTATCTAAAGCATTTTACAACCTTTTAAAATGAGATTATATTAATTCTGACATTTCTATTTCTTTTCTACTTTTGTTTCTGCTTGAAGTTGCTGTGCATTGTTTTGATTTTACAAATTCAATAGGGTGAATATTATAGTAGCAAGGAAGCGAAGGTTATATGTGTAAATGCATTATATATGTATAGATTTCTTTGATGATTGGCAAAGTAAATTATAGTAGTTATGAGAAAAATATTTAGATTATAAGTTTTTTACATCTTTAATAATTATTGAAAGGATAAAATTATCTTGGGAAATATCCTTGCATTACAAACAGTCTAAAATTAAAACTTCTCTTTTTATAAGGTGATTTTTTCACCAAAGGAACACATTTTACCAGCTTTCAGACCACAATATATAGAGTTCAAACCAAAATACCAGGTGAGTCCTGAATTATCCTATCCCAATAACAATTATATTTAAGTACTAGGCTTCTCTAATACTTTATATAATTCAGTGGTTCCTAAACCAGACTACCCATTAGAAATACATGGCTGTCTTTGAAAAAATACATGTTCTCAGATTCTACCTCTGACCTAATGAATCCCAGTCTGGAAATGGAGCCTGAGAATCTGTATTTCTCAGAAAAACCCAGGGAATTCTTATATTCTCATCTGGATATCAACTAATATTTGAAAAACAGTTGCAATAAATTGTATCCATTACAATGAAGTTTGAACAACTAAGTTGAAATAAACTAAAACAAATACTAGGCTGATTATTTCACATTTTGCCATTTTCAACTGGTTAATGTAGAAGTTGTATGAACAAATATAAGAATATGTTTGAAATATTTGAATAAGAGACTTTATCTCAAAGGCTATTTCAATGATATACTAGCTTGAACCCAGAACTACAAAACTGCCCATGGATATTACACTGAAATTTCACTGTAATCCAGAATTTTTTTGTACTGCTCTCTCTTAACCATTTATGAGGTATGTATGGTATTCATCAAAAAGTAAGATTCTACTGTGACATTCTGAGGAGTGGATGGAACTCATCATCATTGTTGAAATTCCCAGGCTTAAAAGCAGATGATACATGCTCCCAAGTTAGTCTTTAGAAATTATTTGTGATACTTCTAATGGGATATCTACTACTTGCTTTGCATTTAAAATTTTTCTTATATTGCTACTAAAATGCTAAGTATTTATAAGATAGAACTTAGATTCTGATGTTAGCCATTGTCTAAGTAAGTGCAGCTAACCCTGGAAATTAAGTTCTTTAAAAAAAAAAAAAAACGATGTAGGAATGCTGTATAAGTATTTTAAATATTCTAGGTAGCAAAAATCTCTTGGACACAAAATAGTATCAGAATTAGGAATTCTAAAATTTTGCATTAAAATTTTCATCATTCCAATTTCAGATATTTAAAAATAATTAAAGTCAATTTTCTCTTTGTAGAAGGTGGGTGAATAGATAGTTTGACAGATTGCGCAAAGAAAATTAACTAGAAAATTTATTATAAATTCAAATAAATACTACAGAACTTCTTACCTTTTGTTTTTAATATTACAGTTCCAGAAATTCAACTTTAAGGATGGTTCTGATCATTTTCTAAGGAATATAAACAACAAAATGTCAGTCAGAAAAAGGAAAGACCAAGATATGTCCAAATGTAGAAACACTTTAAGTGCAGAGGTTATAGAGCATGAAGACCAAGATCCTCCTTACCCAACATATTCAAAAACTGCAAGACCTACTAATAAAACCTGGCCCTGTGATCCTGGTATCTCCACAGTAAAGACTTTAGACACTAAGACTAAGTTAAAGTCAGCTTGTGATCCCGATTTCATCACAGTAAAGACTTTAGACACGAAGAATAATTTAGCCCGTGATCCTAATATGACCACAATAGAGACTTTAGATACTAAAAATAATTTAAAAGAAAGACTACCAAATGTATCTCTACCTAATTTTGAAGGAGAATCATCAGTGACTGGAAATATAAATACATATCACCTCTCAAAATCATTAAGTCTTACTTCCCACCTAGAAAATTTAAAACAATCAATGATGCTCAAATCGATTTTAAGTAAAAATCTGCAAGACCTTCCAGATAAATTATTTTCTAAACCAGAGGTTCCTATGGACACTGAAGCAAGAAAGAAAAGTCATAGTTCTCCACTTCTGAGTGTTCATGATGAACCACCAAGTAGTCTGGAAAACAAAGTGTGTGAAAAAGTTCAAGATTTAAATAACTGGCTTCCAGAAAAAGACATTGTAAGTTCAAAGTCTCTTTTAAAACGAATAATTAAAGATATTCTTGCAGATTCACTTTCAGAAGGTGGACCAAGAAATTCTCCAGAAGTAGAAACAGCACTTGTCTCTGAAAAACACTTGGAGTCTGGTGAGATCAATTTTCCAATTAAAAAAAATAATTTCAAACAGAAACATTCAAATATTGAAGTGTCTAGCTCCAAACCAGGTATAAGTGACACTGCAAATGATTATGTTTTAAAGCAAATATTCACTGCACCTATCTTCTCAGAGTTGGAAATAGGAGTGAAAGAATTGAATGAGACACCAGTAAATTTGCAGAATCAATTACCCACAGCTTGGGAGAGTTTATCTTCAAATATTCTACTTCATTATGAAGAAAACAATGATGAAATAGAATTGCCACAGGCCAAATCTGTTATAAGCCAGATAATACAAGCATTTCCTGTAGATACTCTTTTAGAATCTGGGATAATCAAAGTGATAGAATTAGATAAACAATATCAGAAGAGTTCTGTGCTGGATACAGAGACAGTCTTTGCTGAAGAAGAGCCAAAGTATTCCACAGAGGATTATTCAGAAACCCAAAGCAGAACAGAATCTCTTTCAGAGCAGAATACACTTATCATTCCCAAAGAAACCACTTCTTCTTTTAATAGAGTTGAATATATGGATGAAGGCCAAAATATATCCCTACAAGATTCAAAATATCAGTCAACACCAGATAAAAAAGCAGATATGCTAAGTAAGAGTCAGAGGTTTGATAGAGAAGAAAATGATCTAAATTCTACTTTAGAAAATTTAAGTAACTCATTAATGGGTAAACTTAATGATTCAGATGTAATAATGTTAAAATCCTTTTTAAAACATATGTTTAATATTTTTTTCAAGTATAATCAGTCTGAAAGAAGACAACCAGAAAAAGAATTAGAAAGACTGATTCAGCATCCTTTTCCAAATAATACAGAAGACCTTGAAGAAATAAAAAAGAATTTTGATAAAACAGATAAATTAGACAGAAAACCTATTTTGAGTTCAAAGCTGTGTGTATTTCTGGAAGAACTCTCAGAGTCAGAAATAAAAAATTTAAAATCTGAACTAAGTAAACATATCCAACATTACCTTGTAGAAAGACTTTCAGAATCTGGACACATCACCAAAGAAGACTTACCAAAAATCTATCAAAATCTGTATTTGATGAATGAGAAAGTGGAACCAAAAGGGCAAAATATTTTTCTGGAAAAATATTCAGAAACTGTAAAAGAAGTCATGTCTTTTGTAAATAATTTTAATCATCATTTCATAGATAAACATTTGGAAATAAAGCTAAAATCTTTCTTAAATGAAATTCTCCAAAACTATTTCCTAAAAAACCTTTCAGAAAGCATTTTATTTAAAGAGACAGAATCTGAGACTATCGACTCAAATATGTCTTCTCTAAGAACTAAAAGTGCTTCCATATCTTTCCGTGAGTTAGGACAAGACATTTCAAGGGGGAATTTTGGGAAAAGGCTTGACTTAAACATGAAATATCCATTAAATAAATCTCTACAAAACTATCTTATAGCTTTATCAGAAAATGAATTACTAAATCTAAAAGCTGATTTAAGCAAACGCCTCCAGAGCCTTTTTATAGAAAAACTTTCAAAATCAGGACTAATCACAGAAAGGCAATTAGAGGGGATCAACCAGCATATAAATTTGATCAATTCTAGTTCCATACCATTTAAATGTATAAAGCCAGATTTATCTTTTAGAAATGAAAACCAGTTTATGGGGGAGAATTCAGAAAAGCAAAATAAAGATTCAAAAATTGTTCAAAAAACTACTTTACAAAAAATTCCGGAGGATAGACTTATAGAAACAGAACTAACCAAAAAGGAAGAAAAGGAATATTTTCCCTTACAGAATATTAAGGAAAATCCATCAATAATTGAGGAACAGAAAAGATACTATCCTAAAGAAGGAGCCAAAACCCTGAGATTAATTAAAGTACAACCTTCTTTCATCAAAAATACCCAAGTGATTCCATTAAATAAGTCATCAGAAAGAGTTACAGGTATAGTGCTTAAGAAACAAAGGAAAGAACATGGTTTCATCCAGCTTCCTCGAGCAGAAAATTATGATTTTAAAACAGAAATTCAAGACCCACATAGTTGGAGTGGTAAATCAAAAACAACTCAGTCAAATATTCACTTTGAAAGGACACTAAAAGCGAAGCCCCTTGAAAAAAGGGAGCATAATATCTATAAACTGATGGCACAGGAAAAACCGGAAGCAGTACTGTCACCGTATCCAAGAATTCCTAATTGCAAAATGCCACGTGAAAATGAAGAATATATATACAAATACACTTTTCCTTCCAGGCAAAATAACACTTTAACTCATTTCAATTTAGAGGCTGGGGAGAAATTGAAGTTAGAAGACCAGTATATTGAGAGATTGAAAGGAAATAATAACAATAATAAAAAACATCTAGTAACATTTGCACAATACAAAAAAATACATACTCTTTCTGTAAAGACAAATGGAATTTGCAATGAAAAATATGCCAAGTTCCCTGAATCACAGTCGTTTAAATACAAAGTTGTGGAAGCGGAGAAAAACTCAAAACCACCCCTCTTCCCAAAAGTATTAAAGAGAGAAAATCTAAAGCCCAAGGTCCGAAAAGAAAGAGACCATGTCAACAAACAGAAGAAGTCATTTAGCAAGAAAGTTAAGATACTACCAGCCACACTGCCCACTGCAAGAATTCTAAGGAAATCTGTTCCAAGGACAATGCTTCACTGGACTGCAAGAAGAACTATACACGTAATACTGTCTTTCTAAGTCTTCTGCTTTTGTATTTGGCAAAGTCTGTCAATAATCTATTTTAGGGTGTATATGTCTGTATGCAAGTATGTGTGTAACCCTCATTGCCCCAAAATACACAGACTGTCAAACTTAAAAAATTCTTCTGACATTCAAATTCACCTCACCCAGTTCAAAATGCAGTCACAAAATCAGGGGACTGTTAACACACTTAGTGCCCTTTAATCTATGAAATAGATAAAGGGCACTCCATCTGGAGCATAAATTAGAAAAAATTCACCCTTTCCTCTGGGCAGACTCTGTTGACTGACACAGCCTGAAGTAAAGCATATAGCCCCTGTCAATGGGAAACTGGCTGGATCTCAGCCATGACTCACCCCTCAGCCCGGGGCTGCTGTGCAGGCACAACATATACAATTCTTGGCAGTGGCTGTATCCTATGGAAACACAGCTGGGATTTTGTTTTCGTGCAGATATAAGTATATATAGTATTATGTGCCAGTTATTCTGATAAGTATTAGGGATATGCAAAATTTATAATCTATTGGATTATGAATGGAAAATTTTTAATTTAACTTCTCCTCTCTTCTATTACCATTGCCCCTCTGCTATATCATGTGCTGAGAAACCTGGGAATTCAAATCTATTTATAATATTAACATAAAACAATTAGGAAGGTAAACCTGCTAACAGACTTTATACAAACCAATCTGAGGTTAAAAACTAGGATTGGAAGGGACTTAGTTTTCTGGACTGCTGCTCTTTTCTGTTTGTACATATAAATAGGCATGACCCATAACTCAGAGAACTCATAAATCCCAAAATGATATTACATTGAAAATTTGATGTGCATAATCCTTTGAGAAAAATAGATCTAATTTAGAACAGTTGCTTTTTTTCTTGTTTAGAACAGTTGCTTTGAATTTGCTCTCCATAGTAAAACAAATATTTAGCTTTAGTAAATAGTAAAAATAGCAGGGAAAATATTATCAGTTTAGCTTATACTCTCAATGTTGGATTTCTCTTTTCTATTTAAATTTGGTAATTTAGTATTGAGTGTGTATGTACACACACGTGTGTGTATCCACTAGGAAAAGGAAGTAGATGGGTTCATGGTTTTGAGAAAGTACTTTCCAAAGTTCCTTTAGACAAATTGAATCTTTAATGTCAGTTTTCCAAACAAAAAATAAATTGTGTTTATATTATATAATATGAGATCATATGGGATCTCAGAACCTTTATCCTAAGAGTGGGCAGGAGAGAGAGAGTTATCTTTATTTTCCTCTGTTAAACCAACAGTCCCTAAACTTTTCTCTCCAGTGAAGTTGACAACAGAGAATTGAATGGTAGCAGGGCATTTTTCAGATCATCAGAAAGACTTGCTCATCTGCTTCTTTTCTAAAATCCAGGAATCTCCCAAAAGAATCAAAACAGAAGACAAGAGAAATTGAGTTGTAGGAGCATCCAGAAAAGTAACCAGTTGTGTGGGTCTCCATGCCCTTTCGCTGTTATTTCATCTGTTACTTCAGTTATTTCATCTAGTAATCAGTTATTTCATTCACATTTCACAATGTGAAGAAAGAATTATGTATTACTCACCAAAGTAGCAGAAATTCCCTTAATAATGTTCCACATACATAAAGGGGGAGAGAAAGAATGTTTCCTTGCCTTCTTCAAACCCAGGCAAAAATGTAAAGTAGGTACAATTAGTCTTTAGACTCTATACCTCCTTTTTCGTAAATCTTTCTTGCTGCCCTAATTCTTCTCAGTCCTGCACAACCTCCCCCCACCCTCCAATTCTATTAATTCATTCACACCTTCTCTCTCAATCAGAGTAGCTTATTCCTTTGGTGTGGTCATCTCTGCAAAGTGTTAAGGGACAAGATGCTCAAGCTGCAGAGGAAACTAGTTTATACTAGTTTAAGAATGACTAATAGCTCCATACCCTCTTTGGGATAATTGTAGGTTATTATATATTTATCATAAAATAGAGCCATATCATATAAATTTGAAAAAAAGAAAAGGAAAACAAAACCCATAATCCCACCACTCTAACCCAACCATCATTTTTAAAAAATTGCTTGGTGTATATATTTCCAGTTATTTTCCTAAATGTCTTACTTTTTTACTCTCAGAATGTACATAAAAAATTTTATTACTTTAATATAAACAGCATAACTATATCCTAGATGCCAGGCTCTCTCTATGTGTGTGAAAGCGTGTTAAAGATGTTTATTAACTTTTAAAGAATGAAACTTTGGATGATATAAAGTATGAGTTCATGATTTATATTTAGGGTTGGAGAAAATATAATATGGAGAATTATAGAATAGGCTGACTGCCTTTAGGAGTCTGACCCTTAAGGACAGCTCTCCTAAGTTTTTCTGGTTTCCAGCTTCATATTTTCTATCCCTTCTGAAATAACAGATCCTTTGAAACAGTAAGATTTTTTTTTTTTAAGCATGGTTTCTATGATAGTATCTAATAGGAGACATTGGGTGTAGGATCTGAATTTGGGGACTGCCTATAAAATATTTAATGCTTTCATTCTTTGTCTTTAGCTGTTGATATTACACACTTCAGTTCTTGTAAATTTAAAATGTACTTTTAAGAAAACTAACACTCCAACCTGATCTTTTAATATTTAGGATTGTTCGGATAGATTTGAGGATATACCTGTGACCTCATTTAAGCATGCTGAACAAGCAAAATCAAGAACAAGGCTTTTAGGAAAAAGTCCGGATGATAGCCATAATCAGTTAAAACACTTTGCAAGACCGAATACTGCTCCAGAGGTTCACAAACGGCGAGAGAACTACAGCGGAAAATTTACAAGTCCTCGAATGGTTTCAGCAGGCTTAGTTCACATAAATGATGCAATCCCAGATTATGAAATTCATAAAATGAAGCAAAAAAAATTAAAAGAGAATATTGAAGTGTTCGCTCATTTGTGATATTATCCAAATGTTAAAAGTTCAGAATGATATGTAAGGCCAACAGTCGATTTCTCCAATTAACAAAATGGTTTGGAGATCTGTCCTTTTGTGGGATAGAAGTCAGCAACCAAATTTCATCTTGTTAGAACCGTTTTAATTAAAATGAAAAAGAAGCACTTTTGATGTAAATGTGTTTTTGTTTATGAACCTTAGGGAACAGACCAAGAAATACATATTCAGTTCATATTTGTTAAGTTTTATTTCCCAGCTTTTCCCCCTTTTCACTATATAACAATACCACACCAGTTGATAGTTCTCTGATTTCCCAAATCTTTGTTATTCTCTAAATTATTCCTGTCTACCCAGTTTTCAAGGTCTATACTTGCAGTTATTTATGTTTAGCCATTTGTTATGAATATATTCTTATTCTTCAGCTCTAATTATATTTCCAGATTCAACAGTATGTAATTTTCTGGGCTTAGAGAACATCTGTTAATTTTAATATCTGATATTACAACTTTTACACTATAAATAAAGATAATAGATTTAATAGTAATTCCTGAGGCACTTCCTATGCTGGATTGACTCTTCTATCTTAAAAAACTATGAAAGGGCCTCTTTAATGGCACAAAATGTAAGAAACCACACAAAACTGTAGAAATTGCATAAAAATTAGCAAAATCAACATATGATTTAAATCAAAGACTTCCTGGGGCACCCAGGTGGCTCATTTGGTTAAGTGTCCAACTCTTGATTTCAGTTCTGGTCATGATCTCAGGATTGTGAGATTGAGTCCTGTGTTGGGATCTGCACTGGGCCCCTCCCGCCCCCCTTTCTCCCTCTCTAAAAAACAAAAAACAAAATCAGAGACTTGAGAATTGGTTCTATTTTTTTTTTAAATTCAAGTATAATTAACATAGTGTTATTAGTTTCAGGTGTACAATATGGTGATGCAACAATTGTATGCATTACTCAGTGCCCATCAAGGTTAAGTGTACTCTTAATCCCCTTCACCTATTTCACCCATCCCCCCATCCACCTCCCCTCTGGTAACATTTGTTCTTTATGAGTCTGGTTTTGTTTTTTTTTTTGTCTCTTTTTTGTTGTTTGTTTTGTTTCTTAAATTCTACATAAGTAAAATCATATGGTATTTGTCTTTCTCTGACTGATTTCTTTCCCTTGGCGTTATACCCTTTAGATCCATTCATGTTGTTGCAAATAGCAAGACTTAATTCTTTTTTATGGCTGAGTAATATTCCTGTGTGTGTGTGTGTGTGATCTCCATTCATCTGCTGAAGAGCACTTGAGTTGCTGCCATATCTCGACTATTGTAAATAATGCTGCAATAAACATAAAGGTGCATATATCTTTTCAAATTAGTGTTTTTGTGTTCTTTGGGTAAATACTCAGTGGTAGAATTACTGGATCATATGATAATAACTTTTGATTTTTTGAAAAACCTCCAAATTGTTTTCCACAGTGGCTGCACTGGTTTGCATTCCCACCAACAGTGCACGAGGGTTCCTTCTTCTCCACATCCTCACTAACGCTTCTTATTTCTTGTGTTTTTTATTTTAGCCATTCTGATAGGTGTAAGGTGATTTCTCATGATTTTGATTTGCACTTCCCCGATGATGGGTGATATTAAGCATCTTTTCATGTGTCTATCTTCTTTGGAAAAATATCTATTCATCTCCTCTGCCCATTTTTAAATTGGATTACTTGTTTCTTTTGGGGCTGAGTTGTATAAATTCTTTATATATTTTGGATATTAATGCTTTATTACATATATCATTTGCAAATATCTTCTCACATTCAATAGGTTGTTTTTGTTTTGCTGATGGCTTCCTTTGCTATGCAAAAGCTTTTTATTTTGGTGTAGTCCCAATATCTTAATTTTGTTTGTTTTCCTAGCCATAGAAGACATACTAGAAAAATGTTTCTACAGCTGGTGTCAAAGAAATTACTGCCTGTGTTTTCTTCCAAGAATTTAGTTTCAGGCCTTACAGTATTACATCCATTTTGAGTTTTTTTGTACTGTGTAAGAAAGTGGTCTAGTTTCATTCTTTTGCATGTAGCTTTCCAGTTTTCCCAACCCCATTTGTTGAAGACACTGTTTTTTTCTCATTGGATATTCTTGCCCCCCTTGTTGTAGATTAATTGACCTTAAAATTATGGGCTTATTTCTGGGCCCTCTATTCTGTTCCATTGATCCTTTTTTTTCCCTTTCAAATTTTTCCTTTCAAAATTTTATTTAAATTCAAGTTGGTTCATATATAGTGTAGTATTTGTTTCAGGATTAGAAGGGCCCTCCTTAATGCCCATCAACCAATTTCCCCTTTCCCCTACCCCTATATTTAAGAGTCTTTTATGGTGGGCGCCTGGGTGGCTCAGATGGTTAAGCGTCTGCCTTCGGCTCAGGTCATGATCCTAGGGTCCTGGGATCGAGCCCCGCATCAGGTTCCCTGCTCGGCGGGAAGCCTGCCTCTCCTTCTCCCTCTCCCTCTCCCACTCCCCCTGCTTGTGTTCCCTCTCTTGCTGTGTCTCTCTCTGTCAAAGGTTTTGTTTTTTTTTTTGTCTCTTTTTTGTTGTTTGTTTTGTTTCTTAAATTCCACATATGAGTGAAATCATATGGTATTTGTTCTCTGACTCATTCCACTTAGCATAATACACTCTAGTGGCAAATGGCAAGATTTCATTCTTTCTGATGGCTGAGTAATATTCCATTGTATATATATACACACCACTTCTTCTTTATCCATTCGTCAGTTGATAGACATTTGGGCTCTTTCCATGTTCTGGCTGTTCCACTGATTTATGTGTCTGTTTTTTTGTGCCAGCACCATCCTGTTTTGATTACTACAGTTTTGTATTATACCTTGAAATCTGGGATTGTGATACCTCCAGATTTGTTTTTATTTTTCAAGATTGCTTTGGCTATTCAAGGTCTTCTGTGGTTCCATATAAATTTTAGGATTATTTGTTCTAGTTTTGTGAAAAATGCTGTTGGTATTTTGATAAGGATTGCATTAAGTGTGTAGATTGCTTTGGGTGGTGTGAACATTTTAACAATATTGGTTCTCCCAGTCCATGAGCAAGGAATCTTTCCATTTGTGTGTGTCATCTTAAGTTCCTTTCATTGACGTTTTATACTTTTTAGAGTAGAGATCTTTCATCTCCTTGGTTAAGTATATTTCTAGGTATTTGGTTCTTTTTGGTACAATTGTAAATGGAATTGTTTTCTTAGTTCTCTTTCTGCTACTTCATTATTAGTGCATAGAAATGCAACTGATTTCTGATACTAATCTTGTATCCTGCAACCTTACTGAATTCATTTGTCAGTTCTAGTAGTTTTTTGGTGGATTCTTTAGGGTTTTCTATATATAGTATCATGTCGTCTGAAAATAGTGAAAGTTTGACTTATTTACCAATTTGGAGGCCTTTTATTTCTTTTTGTTGTCTGATTGCTGTGACTAGGATTTCCAGTACTGTGTTCAATAAAAGTAGTAAGAATGGACATCTTTGTCTAGTTCCCGACCTTAGAGGGAAAACTCTCAGCATTGAGTGTGATGCTAGCTGTGGGTTTTTCATATATGGCCTTTATTATGTTGAAATATGTTTCTCTGAGCTTTAATTTGTTGACAGTTTTTATCGTGGATGGATGTTGTACTTTGTCAAATGCTTTTTCAGCATGTATTGAAGAGATGATGTGGTTTTTATCCTTTTTCTTGTTAATGTGATGTGTTGATTGATTTGCAAATATTGAACCACTGTTGCATCCCAGCAATGAATCCCACTTGATGTGGTGAATGATTTTTTAAATGTATTGTTGGATTCCATTTGTTAATATTTTGTTGAGAATTTTTGCATCTATGTTCTTTGGAGAAATTGGGTTTGGGGTTTTTTTCATACTGTCTTTATCTGGTTTTGGTATCAGGGTAATGCTGACCTCATAGAATGAATTTGGAATTTTTCCTTGCTCTTCTTCTTCTTTTTTTATTAGTTTGAGAAGAATAGGTATTAACTCTTCTTTAAATGTTTGGTATAATTCCCCTGTGAAGACATCTGGTCCTGGTCTTCTGATTCTTGAGAGTTTTTTTAATTAGTGATTCAATTTCATTGCTAGTAATTGCAGTGTTCAAATTTTCCATTTCTTCCCAATACAGTTTAGGAAGCTTTTATGGTTCTAGGGCTTTATTTCTTCTAGGTTGTCTAATTTTTTGGCATATAATTTTTCATCATATTCTCTCATAATCCTTTGTATTTCTGTGTTGTTGGTTATTTCTCCTCCATCATTTCCGATTTTGAGTTCTTTGTCTCTTTGTCTTTTGATGAGTCTGGCTAACGGTTATCAATTTTGTTGATTTTTCAAAGAACCAGCACCTGGTTTCATTGATCTGTTGTATTTTTAATTTTGATTTCATTTGTTTTTCTTCTAATCTTCATTATTTCTTTCCTTCCAGTAGCTTTGGGTTTTGTTTGTTCTTGTTTTTCTAGCTCCTTAGGTATCTCTATTCTGAAGAATTTTCCATGTGCACTTGCAAAGAATTTTTAGGATGAAATGTTCTGAATAGATCTTTTAGATCCATCTGGTCCAATGTGTCATTCAAATCAACTGTTTCTTGTTGATTTTCTGTTTAGATGATCTCTCCGTTTACTTAAATGGGACGTTTAGGCCCCCTACTATTATTGTATTACTATCTCTTTCTTCCTTTATGTCTGTTAATAGTTGCTTTATGTATATGGGTGCTCCCATGTTCGGTGCATAAATGTTTACAGTCATTATATCTTCTTGTTGGGTGGTTCCCTTTATGATTATGTAGTGTCCTTCTTTCTTCTTAGTCTTTTTTTTTTAAGTCTATGTTGTCTGATATAATATTGTTACCCCAGATTTCTTTTCACTTCCATTTGCATGATAAATGTTTTTCTGTCTCTTCACTTTCAATCTGCATATGTCTTGAGCTCTGAAATGAGTCTCTTGTAGGCAGCATATAGAGGGATCTTGCATTTTTTATCCA